CAATTGAGAAGGATGAACTGTGACTGCAATTATTTGAAGTCTCTCAACATCTATCTTTGACATTCTAAAAAAAATTACTGAGAATAAAGGGTATCTGTATTGCTATGTTTCACTTAAAATATTGAATATTTAACTCCAGATATTCTTCAGACTATTTAACTACCTGCTGACTGTTGCAAACAATTGTGCAGTTTTTAGCAACTGTAGTTCTTCCTTTGTAGAATCAGAATGCTGAATAGTTGTGCTCCTGGGATGTCAGCATCCAAGTTTTTTGTTCATGTTATATGCAATTATGATATGTGTGTAGTGCAAGACCTGTGTGGGATATAGCATACAATCATTGTAATAGTTACAGTGATGAGACAAAATCTCAAAAATTTTAGGAATTATATTCAACTGAAACAAGTTAAAATCTTAATATCTAATTCTGCAGGGTTCTTTTCTCCTGTCACCCTTGCTCATAATTTTGGTCTTTCAAGCTAGGATCAAGTGTCTTCTTAATAGTATCCCCAAATTACTATTCATGCTTCCTTTTTCTCATTCTTTGTTTCCCACATTTTCTGTCATTTCTCTGCTCCATGAACTGACACTATAGTAAATCTATTTTTCAAAATAAAACCGTCAAGCAGTGGGATAAGTGCAGCTGAAAGTTATGATGGTGGCACTGGTAGTATGAGTTTTACAGCAGCCTTTCTATTGCTACATTTGGTTTACCATAACATTCAACAGTGCAGATGGTTTGACAATTTCATTTTTAGCACCACATAAATTCCCACAGGTACACAGAATAAATTTTACTATTCACATTTCCTCATTAAAAAAAAAAAAAAAAGAAAAAAGTATCATTCTGGTGCCATCTTCTTATTATCATTCAGCATGTACAACAGCAGTGAATAATAACAAGAATGTAAACATCTGCTTTTTATAAGCAGCCATCCACCAGATTACTATGTACTTTATGAGCATTATGAGGCACAAGGAAGCAGGCCAAGTATCTTAAGCCACCCAAAATGAGCAAGCATCACTTTGAACTACAAGCATGTTACTGAATTTTTACAATTGTTTTTCCTTATGTAAATAAATATTAATTAAAAAACCAAACAAACAAAAGAAGGAAATGAAAGTTAAAATGGTAAAATTAAAAAAAAAATAATCAAACCCAATGAAATTTCAAAACCAAAGAAGACACTTGATCCAATAGTCTTGAACTTGATCCAGCTTAATTTTCTATAGACATCTAACACATTATGCATGATCTCACAGGCTCCTCAAGTATTCTCAGGAGAGTAATGTCAAATAGCTATAAATATACTGACAGATTTTATTAGCACAAGTTAAGAATAACTACATTTCTCATAGCAAAAACACAAGCTATAAAGATGTTTCAAAGGTTCATAAATAAATGTTCCATCCTGAGCTGCTATCTTATATCATTTGCATATGGCTCATATTTTACAACATAGCTTTCATTTAAAAAAAAAATGTTAGTTTTGAAATACTTTTATACCTTTACTAATCTATATTTCTGCTGCTGTAAAGAAGAATTCTACTAATATCATTAATCCGACTGTATACACAAAGGGAGGAAAAAAACCCAATGCTAATTAAAAAAGTAACAAAGATCTAAACTTGTTTTATAATTTAAATCAACTGTTTCAAATTTGATGTTTGCTGTCCTGAAAGGCAAGGATTGAAACAAATCAAATAGAGCATAGATTATTGAAAATAAATGAGATTTCTAAAGAGATAAACAGAATGTTTCAACCCAAAATGGTTCATAAGGTCTATCCTGAGTGCATCTTAAAAATGTCCCTGGACTAAGAGAATGTTTATCCTGAACTTATGACAATGTAGGCATGTAAGGAGAAGCAAGGTGGCAATTACTCACTAGCAATCACAGATGAGTAAATTGTCTTACGCCTTTCTTCACCTTCCTCAGAGAGTAAAGATACTGCTCCACAAGTATGAAAGCAGGTGTGAAAAACTAGTCAGTCACAGGAGGCCCTGTTTCACGCTAGTGGAAAAGCCTCCAAAGTGAGTGAAAGAGAGCCATGGAGATGGAAGGTGGGCCTGGAACCTTCCTTTGAGCATTGGCAGAAGAAGCAGTGGCTGTTCTGAAGGTAGGATATTTACACACTGACCTGTTTCTCCACCACACGCCAGAGATTCAAGACTCTGTACCTTATAGGACATTGGATGTTATTGATACCTTGTGAAGAAGTTTTTGGAGACTTAAATCTGCAAGTAAATGCTGTCTTCACTCAAACACCACACATTTCTGCCGTGAAGAACTGACCAGTCTTAAAATGAAGTGATCTGGAAAATGTTTTCTGAGAGGAACGCATAGTGACATTATTCCAGTTCAAGCTCTGTGATGGCACTCACTCCATCTTTTCTATTTTTTCTCTGAATAATGGACGTAAATGTTAGCTTAGACATGTGCTTTGTGAACACATCTGTATGCCAGACTTGAGATTTAAAGCTCCTTCTGGAACTCACTTGGTTTGACCAGTTTTAGACTGGTAAAACACACTACCTAGATAACATGTTCTGCTTGCTCATCATCTTAGCAACAATCAATTTGTCTACTTCTAGCACCTTTGGGAGGAAGACATACACTCTTTTCCGAGGAAGAAATTTTGTGAGGGAATGGAAGAAACAAGACAATGATTGCTACCTACAGTCTATTTATATAGACTTCTGCAACCATGTTCCCTAAGGCAGCTGAGATCCTTGGTTAACGGGAATTTTCAAGGACACACATACAAAAGACTCAGCTGAGCCTATTTATTCTGTGGCATTGGAAAAACCTGAATTACACTGATAGACAAACCCCATCAGGTAGATATTGGAAATCATGAAGAGGAAGGGGCAGAGAAGCAAAGATTCAGAAAAATTGCACAAGGAAATATGAGGACATTTGACATTGGCAAACAAAGGGACAATACAAATTTCACTGGAAAAATAATGGAAGGAACTTTGGAAAGAAAGCAGATGAAAAAATACCTGCAACAGAAAATCCAATTATCATGTGATATCAGCTAGAAAGCACAAAACTAGGTGGTCTGAAATCAGAGAGCATAAGCTGGGAATGATGAGGAAGGAAAAGAACACAATATTCTGACTTCTAAGAGCACAATCCTGCTGCTTCTGCTTGCTTAATTAATCCTGATTATTTAATTTCCCAGGTAGAAAATAGGGAAATTCCTCTCTTCCTTCTGTTTCTTGTTATCAATAACCTACAGACTACTGAATCAACCTATTCCTCTAAGACCTAACAGGAGTCAGTCAGCATTGGGTGCAGAGTTAAATAATGATAAAACATAATTTGAGGTCACTGGGAAGGATAAGAAAGCAGGTATAAGACTAAGCTTGATCATTTTTGTCTGAAGCTTAGGTAATGGATCCCAGCATTATCAAGGTAGAGGTATGGAATGCACAGGGTATTTCCTTTGCTCTATGCAGCAGTGATGAGCAAAGGAATATCTACAGAATATTTGTATCCTCCCATGTCCCACGGACCCCAAAATCAAGCAGAGGGATGGAGATTTGGAGGTATTTTGATAATGATTCCACATCTTATCAACTTCTCAGAGTTTATGACATGAATTTTATTCTATGGCAACAAAAGTAAAAGCATATGCTGTATTGAAGTAATGTAAATAGAAAATGTACTATATGGAATGTAATTTTCCTTATGATTCACACAAAAAATACAGATTCTCTATTAGTAAAACATAAACTTCTTCTTCATTGTACTCTTAAGCAGTGTTTCCACATGTTGTTAAACAGTTTCCATTTAGCATTGCTGATATGTTTCCATAGTGAACGAAATATTATTTCTATCCCCCTGTCAATGATTCCACTTGTAAAAATGAATTAATTTTTGATATAACAACTTAAAAAAAATTTCTACTTTTTTTATAGTGAGTTAACAAGTGAATCACTCACAACACTAAATAGCTGAATAATTATTCACATATATTTTCAGTTTCTTCTTTCTTCTCCCAAATTATTATCTTATAAAACATACTTTACATGGTTTTCACTCTTTTACTGCTAAATGGGTATTTATTTAACATATAGGATAATTTTCTCATTAAATCTAAATTAGATGCATCTTCAAGAATTTTAATTTTGAAGTATGTCTGACGCCTGGAGTGAAACTTTGAAAAGAATTATTAACAATTCAATGCATACAACATATATTCTGGAGTTTGTGCGTCTAAAAATACTAAATACACATCTATGAAAAAGATATTTATTTTTCCCACCTGAAGCTCCTAACATCACAGTTCTCAGATGAAATAAGTACAGTGCAGTACAATGACTTATATGTAGCACAGATGCCATTTAAATATATGCAAATTTCATTTGTAAAAAGGAAGAAGACCAGAGACAACCACAAAGAAAAAATATGGAACTGTGTTCATTCTTGCTTCCTAATCCACATTTTTCAAAAAGGTTTTCATAGTAGATCACTGCGTTGCTGTCTCTTATTTATACTTCCAAATTTTTACTGAATATATAAGAGTAAATGATCTGATACTCTGAAGGGTAATCATAAATTAAAGCTGTAGTTGCCAAAATGAGAAAACATAAATCATATACTCTTCATTTAGCTACCAATTTGCAACATGATTTACAAATCATTAGTAAAAATAAGCAAGTATGTTCCAAGAAATCATCACAGCCGAAAGTATTACACAAAATCTTACTTTTCTTCTTTTCTTACCTTTAAAGAAGACAAAATTCCCCTCACTGTTTTCATAAACTGCATCAATGCTGGGAGGCAGTCCCCTCCAGAAGTAGGTAATCTGCATGGGGTATCCATCCATCACCCTGTTGTTTCTGACTCGCCAAAACCACTGATCCTGGAAACCAAATACACGTCTCTTACTATGCTTTGAGGCATTTATATGTGTTCTGTTGCTGTCTTGAAAATACTGAACAGCCTATCCTAGCATTTTTAGAGTATGACCTTTCGCTGTTTGCATAACCATATTTGCGTTCGTATTCGTGTCACATCCATACATTATAAAAGTGTCAGAACTAGTTGTTCCCTGAGGTGGGAATAAGCGACCTATGTGAACTGTGTGTTAGGTGTAGATAGACTTCGGCAGAACATACAGTGTGCTGTGTGAGATGATGTAACTTTCTCAACATCATTCCTATAAGGGGCCCAACTTAAAATTTGTGGACTGACTACAAGTGCTTTTAGACAGAACCATATGCATATGTGTAAGCCTAATATAATGGGACTACAGGAAGGCTTTGAAGATCAACTAATTCTGCAAGCCATTCTTTTGCAGTGGCTGCTAACAGTGAAAGGTTGATAGATACAGCTGTAACATTACTACATCAGTTCGATAAGAACTACACTTTGATGATAACTTTACTGTAGTGAAGATTTGCAGTCTTTCCATGTAATATTAAATAGAACAGTTAATATTACAGCCAGTTATAGGTGCTAAATCCAGTGTCCTGGTAAATCTATCTTAGCTTGTTGCCATTTAAAATGGCTTCTCCCTGTGGGCCATGCTATTGCTTTAACTGAGAGTCATACAGAAGTTGCATTGTTGAGGAATGAGGAACGTTCAAGCTAAGAAATGAGTATGTGACTCATCTGGTGGGCGTTGATGTCATTGCTGGACCTCTTCAGCTCTTATAACTGCCACAGTACTAGTTCACGCAGTATTTAGAGATGAAGGAGAGGTTAAGCAAGTATTTAACTTTTTACACACATTTGCACATTTTTACAGTATTAATATTATACAAAACAAAACCCCCTAAAAGATAAAGAAAGTGCTATTCTCTCAGATATCTGTCACAGCTTAACAGGCTGTTCGGCCTTCTTTCTGTATAGGTCAACTTGCTAAGCAAAAGAGATCTGTGCTCTTATGGGAACTGGCACAGCTTAGAGAGGAGATTAATACTTTGCAGGAGCCGGTTTATGATGAACTGTATTCATCATCTTTCCAAACCTGAGATCACAGTTCTCTTTAATTGTTTATCTTTCCAATGACTCAACATATAAATCTCCACAAAAAGTGTTAGCCATACAAATACAAAACAGCTCAATATATATACAGAAATACATCTTAATCATGTGCATAAATGAGTCTAAAATTGAAAGAGTTGTTTTGAGGCCCAGATTTCTGAGAACTTTAATACTAAAAAAAGTTCAAATACCTCACACAACCTGAAAAATATTATATTGAAAAGTTGCAATTGTCTGGAAATAATACTACTAAAATCCCTCATATTTTTTCATGCCTAGCTATTTCATTGCTAGTGTTACACAGTTGCACTATTCTCATCTGATTAGATTCCTATTTTCAGCTTTCATTGGTCTTTTATTGTAAGATATATTGTAATATTTAAGGAAGATCAGCAAAGGATTTTTTTTAGGATTAATTGACTAAATTCCAGTAAGAAAAATGGCAAAAGTGGGGGAATACACCTTAGAGATACAAGCGTTTAGGAAGGCCTAACTGAAGCATGTGTTCTGAATGCTGGAACAGATAACGTCAACCTCTGTTATTTTTTTTATTACAGCATGTAGATAAGACAAGAGGGCTTTGAAAAATTAAAATTAGGGGGAATATCCTCAAAGCAGACATTTGGAAGTACTTTTTCATTGAAACAGATCCAGGTCAGGTTTTTTAGACATCATCAATCTAGGAATGACTTAGGGAGGAATGATGTAATGATAAGTCTCAATAGGCCAAACAATTCTTTGTCCTCCCTAGATTTCTATAAAACCCTCAAAAGCCAGGCAGTATCTCAGAGATCAGCTATTAAGTTTAAAAAAAGGACAAACAAGCAGCAAGCTGCAGTGATTTAAAACTGCAGTCTTTGTGATATCTGTTACTACCTTCAGTACAATAGAATATTCCAGTCTTGTCTTTCTTCACTCCAAGATAGACATAACCCTCTTTATTAGTCTGAATTTGGTTGCAAAAGCACATCTTAGAAAACAATGCTTAATTGCATGAAGGAACATATCCAACTTTCATAAAATGTCCACCAACTCAGAAAGACATTGATCAATTTGTGGGTACAAAATAAGCAAGATATTTAAAGATGAAGAAAGACTGACTACTTAGCTGAATACAAAAGGACATAAGTACACACATAATCACTTCACCGAACAAAGGTCATAAATGAAATGTTCAGGCTTTCAGCAGTTTCCCAATACAACGCGCATACTCTGGGAAGTCTGGACATCGGTGCTATAGACAAAGCTTCTAACATTCTCGGTTGGTTAATGAATCTCAACTTTCAGCTAGTACACTAAAGCCAATCTTGCAAATTACCTTACTGTGTTACAAGAGAATGATTTCTGTAATTCTACTGACAGGAATAATATTCTTTTGATCAGACCTAAACTACGTTGTTAAATGTTCAATCAATTCCATTGACTGGTGGGTTTTTTTTTTAAAAACAAAACAAAACAAAACAAAAAACCCCAAAAACTTTAAATAGTCATAGCTATATTCAATAGTTCACAAACTTCCAAGTGTTAAAGATAAATGTGGCAAGAGTAGCAAGCAGTCATTTGTTTGGGCAGTACTGCACTGCTGATTGGCTAGTACTATCCCATCACGGTGATTTCTGGTATAATATCAAAGTGTCAGTTGAATGACCTCAGTAATGAGACTAAATATGCATTCTTGAAAGAAACTGTAACAAACACAGATTTCACAGTGCAACAGAACTTGTAAAATCAAGTCAACAAAGATCCTCTTCTTGAGAATGAGTTATGTTTCAGCCTTAGTGCTTTGTGGAATGTATTTGCATTAACTCATTTTGATAACAAGACCAATAAAATTATATTCTGTAGATTTGGCATTGAGTTGTATGTCAAATTGTGTATTCCATATTTAATATTAGCGATTTGCAGCATAATAGTGAGACTATTCTTATTTATTTTTTTCTCAAATTCCTTAGCAAACCAATAATTTGCCCTGCTATACCACAATTAAAATCTTCACAATAATACAATTATGGCAAAGCTGGAATGTTTGATTCATGCAGCATAGCCCCAGGAATTTGTCTTTATATGTATATGTCATATACTGTGTCAATACTATGTATCCATAAGCTTTCAAGAAGAAATAATTTAAGGTATCTGACAAGAAATTAATTCAGCAGGGTGTTACTGTGTGTACATATCCATCCTGGACTGGCACAGGCCTTTTCATCTGAGACTGATTATAGAAGATCCCCACTCTATCTTATAGTCATTTTAGAGATACTTCCAATAGAAATGATATCTAAAACGGTATAATGAAAAATCATGAATCTTCAAGATCTTTTATTTTTTTAATATGTAGCCTGTTACTTCCCAAATTGTACAAAGAAATGAGACTAATACTTCTGTAATAATACTAGTAGATTAGTGTTCAGTGAGTTACATAAGTAGAATCGATTTGACCAGATTTATATGTCTATAATGTAAAAATCTGTTCAGAAATGAAACACCAAAACTGGCACAATAGAAGTCCTCCATAGAAACATTCTAAGGTACACTTCACTTGGCTGTTTACTTCTCTACACTGAGTATAAATGAAATCTAGAAACCTGGCTCCTGTTTAGATGTCTGCAAAGTACAAAATGGGCATTTAAATACAAGTGAGATAAGTCCCATCCATTCTCTACTTTTTGTCTCCTGGGTTCAACCCATCATAATGCAAAGAACATAAAGTCATAAGGATGACCACACATGGCCAGATCAGGGTTCATCTATGCCTGTATCCTACCTCCAGTGGAGTCGCAAGCAAATTAACAGGTAAGACTTCAGCCCTAAAGCGGTCAGGCAGTTGGACCAGATGATCATTGTAGGTCCTTTCCAACTGCACTATTCTACTCCTATTCCATTTTATTCTACTCTATGACAATAAAAACAAAGGGAACATGCAATGACACCTCTCTGATACACTTTCCCAGTCACCCATCACTTGTGGTTCAGGGACTTCCTGAACCAAAGGCGATAATTTTGTGATTAATAACTCTTGATGGAGTTTTACTCCCTTGGACTCCTTCCTAGACACACACAAACTTAGAGCATCCACAGCTATCTGCAGAAATATGTATGACAATTTAACAATCCACAGTGTGAAAAGCCCTAAGAAATCAGCAACAGTCACAGCTGCTCACTGGTGTTCAGCCTTCATTCACTTTATTTCTTTTTTTTTTATCACCAAGAATAGCAGCACGTTGACTGCAAGATCTAATCCAAGATCTTTGTCGCTTCATAGTAAAACCACCTTGTAGACTAAATCCTTCTGCTTGTTTTTAGGAAACCTTTCTACACTGTAACACATCTGGTCAATATTAAGGATAAAGGATCTGTGGCTTGAAATAAGATCTTCCTGTGCGATTGACTTTAATGTCTAAATATTCCATTCTGAAGCATAATTGTGAACATAACATACCATGCTCTGTCTTCTGCTGATGGAATTCTGTAGACTCCTTATTTTCTTGCTCTGTATTCAGTAGTTTTACATTGCAATAATAATGAACAATGGAGTATTGCTCATCAGTACGGACCTTACAGGTTTCCACAGAACTAAAATTTTGGAAATGTATAATTTTAGCATTTTCATGGTCTTATTTAAACAGAAAGAAGCAGGCACGTGATTTGCTAATAGATGTAATTTTAGAGATAGCCAGAATGACAAGAATCAGCAAATATCTGGAAATGTCTGACAGCAGAACTGGAAGTTTGTATCATTTATAACATTGGGCAAGGTAGATGTTGGCAGAGGTTGATAGAATAATTTGTTTATGTAAATTTAATTTTCCTGGCTGACTTTCCTATGAACATACTGGACTCAACGGTTTTAGACTGCCAGAGTTCAAGCTCTGG